CGGGCTTGTGGGCTGAGCTCTCCAAAGGGGAACCCAGGGAGCTGGAGTGATTTCCTCAGGGATGCGGTGACGCTCAAAGCAGAACTGAGACTTAAGCAGCATCTGCAAAAAGCACAAACAACCAGAAAGGGCAGCTTTGGGAAGCTCAGGGGAGCGAGGCGGGCTTCACATCTCACGGCAGTCAACAGACTACAGGGAACCTCCCTCGGCGCCAGCTCTTGCGTCTGTGCTGCTGGGAATTCAGACTAGACATTAGTTTTCAAACTGGTTTCCGGGAACACTCAAGGGGCTGGGGACATCTTGCAGGGGGAAGAGAAGAGGAGGGGAAACAGCAGGCCAGCCCTGCTGTCCAACTCTGATCAACCAGAGAAGCCAAGTTCGTACAAAAGACCCCTTAACGAAAAGGCTTCCGCTGCAAAAGCACATGTAAAACCTCGCATTTTCAGTGGTGTCCGCTTCCTGCCATCCTGTGTTTTTAATCACAGAAATTCATTCACTCAGCAGTTCAGCATTTACTGACAATACGGATGTTAACAGGAAAGCCCAGTCCCTGTTTTTAGGATGGTCACAATTCAGGTGGAAGAGGAGAGCATTCAACAAGCGAGTCGTGCAGTGTGATAACTGACGTTCATACGTTCATGCAGCAAGTATACTTACCAAACACCTACCACAGGCCCCGCACTGCTGAGGTCTTGAATATAGACAGTGAGCAAAAGAAAGTCCTGCCCTCCTAAAGCTTTCACTGTAGTGGGGAGAGACAGACAATGAACAATTAAACAAATACAAAATACATCCTCAGACGCCGAAACCTGCCACTAGAATGAATGAAACAGCCTTAGGGGCCTGGAGAGTGCGAAGGAGTTTGCTGTTCTGGGTTGGAAGGTAGGGGAAGCCTCTCTGAGTTCATGTATATTTGTTTTTCCATTCTGCAGTGACAGGGCCAGAAAAACCCATTTTAAGGGCAATGAACTCAGTTGGTGGGGAGTGGGGGTCTTGGGGTAAGTCTTCCTGGAGGAAGGACGTGGTTTCAAGTGGGAATCGTGGTGGAGGATAAGGACCCAATGGATCATGGTTGGAGCCTCAGCTGCCCCAGGACTGTTGCAATGGCCACCGCTTTCAGTCAGAGCCCAGGCAACAGGTTTGAAGGGGCAGTTATAAGATGATAGAGTCTTTCCTCTAGATCAGGGTCTGCAGGCCAACTCTGGCCCGACACCTGATTTTATAAATAATTTGTTTTGGAACAGCCATATCCATTCATTTGCACAGTGTCTATGGCTGCTTTTGTACAGAAGCTGAATTGAATAGTTGAGACAGAGACCATGTGGCTGGCAGAACTAAAACATATTTACTATCTGGCCCTTTACAGAAAACAGTTTGCCAACCCCTCTTTTAGAAAATGCTTCCTGAAAGGCAGAACCTTATTTTTAATCCAGCCTCTCATTTGATGCTCACAACAGCCCCACATAACAGACTGAGTGAGTTTTATCATTATCTCCAGTTTGCAGATGGGAGCACTGAGGCTCCAAGTGAGTGTCTCAGATCACACAGCTAGGTAAGTGGTCAAGTCAGGGGCCTCCTGATCCAGTGTCCTCACAGCTTGGGGGACCCAGGTGTGCACATTTCAGCTTGTTTTTTATCAGAGCTCTTCTTCTCCAAATTTTCCCAGTTGGTGAAACATGCAAAATGCCCCCCAGCCACCCCTTTAAAATGTAATTGGCTCCCCCCAACATCTACAGATGGAAAACAGATGTGACTTTGGCAAAAATGAAAGCAGGAATCTCCAGGAAATGCAGACTGCAGCCCAGCAGGGCTCTCACAGGCAAAGCCTGATGGACATGATCTCTGATCCATGCAAGGCAGATGTTCCCATCACAGGCGAATTATTTTGCAGCTGTGCCCCGGCATCTCAACGGTGCTGCCTCAGGCCCCTGTGTGTGCGAGGCTGAGCCCTGAGCCCTGAGCCGTGGGCTCCAGCCTTCACAGGAAGGAGAATGCATCCCTCACCATCCCTGGGATATTGCTGGGAGCCGGCACATTTAAATGATGCTTAAGGTTTACATTTGTCCACAAATAGCTCTCAAGTCAGGGAGCCTGTGTGGGTCTTTCTCACCACATCAGGGAAGAAGGACCCAGATTCTAATCCCAGCTCCACTCCTGACCAGCCTTGAGACTTGGAGCAAATTTCTCCCATCAAGTGAGGTTGAGCTTGGTGAATCCAAGGCCGCTGGTGTGCTAAGTCAACGATGGTACTGGGAGCCCATTGTCTGCATCTCTTCCTCACTCCATGGTCATGTTGGTAGCTTGCAGTTGGCCACTATGGAAATATATATGCCATGGAAATTAGCAAATGCTACAAATCAGAGCTTTTTATGTTTTGGGAGAGCCAGTTGCTAAGCATTCCCAGCACACCACTGTCTGAGGCCCACAGTGGATCCTAGTATTCTAGACCTCAGCCCCAACCCTGGGCAGGACAGAGTGGTGCCTGGTCGGGGCACATGTAGGTCAGCTCAGCTCAGCTCTCTGTCAGTGTCCTATATCCCAAGCCCTGTGCTGGATACTGGGAAGGCAGTGATGGGGCAGAGGCTCAGCGAGGTTAAGTGACTTACCCAAGCTCACCCAGCCTCCATCACTACCTTCATGGAGCTCACAGCCCGAGGAAAAGGGCAGGCTCTGAAACAGTCACAGGTAAGGGAGGTGGAAGCTGGAACCACCCAATTGTGGTTGAAGATGTGGGAGGATGAGAAGTTAGTGAGGGAGAGGTAGAGAGGGCATCCCTGGCAGAGGGAACTGTGTGTGCGAAGGAGTGAAAGTGCCCGTGGATTCAGCCCTGATTCAGCACAGCAGGGCGTCACGTGGGAGTGTGATGGCGGCAGAATGTCGTTCTGAGTGGGAAGTGGTGATTCTGGGTTCTCTCTGATGGCAGAAGGACTCCTGGAGTCTCTGTAGAGGCGCATCTGAGGTCTTGCTGGGAGCTCAGCATTCACTCATTCATTCATTCGTTCACCCAGCACCACCCCCTGCGCCCTCTGCAGTGCAGCGCTGTGTGTCCTGGGGAGACAGAGGGAAAGTGCTTGGAGGGACTGATGTGGGGTCTCGAGAGTCCCCTTCAGTGAGGTGGTTGAACACACGTGGTGGGAACCAAGGAGATGGGCCCCAGAGCCATCTGAGGGTTGCCAAGATTCTCCAGAAGAGCATGGGGGAAAGATGCAAAGGGCAAAGCACTTGCCATCCCCACCGGGCACAGAGCCACCGTCTGGAGGGCTTCTCTCCCCGCCCCCCTCTCAGTCCTCAGACCTAGGGCCACAGCTGGATGATCCTTCTGGCTGAAAGCCGCTGTCCCCTCAAGCAGGTTTTCCCCACTTGGCACTATAGACATTTGGGAACTGAGTAATTCATGTTTACAAAGGGCTGTGCTATGCACTGTCGGGTGTTTTAACAGCATCCCTGGCCTTGATGCCAGTAGCAAAAGTGACTTCAAACGGCCCCTGAAGGGCAAAATCACCCTGGTTGAGAACTACTGCTCAAAAGCAAATTAACTTGCCTGATTCTGTTCCTTGGTGAGTTATTGATACAATACCAAGAAAAAAATGATGGAATGCTTCTTGGAAGCAGAGTAAAAATTCAGTCAGCTCTAAGCCAAGGCATGAGTTATAGGTGAATTCCAAAAGGCACAGGACTGTTCCACATCCGTGCTGCCAGACACGCCTTGTTCCCTAATTCATAAATCAAATGAAAAATCTCCTGTGTGCCAGAATTCTAATAATTAAATTATCAACATGAAAAACAACTCCAAGCACAAAATAATATTTCCCTAGAAACTCTTTAGTCGTGCCTCAGGCTCATAAAGGTTTATGGAAGGCTCTCTCTAAAACTGACTAATTCTGTGCAGGGAGGGCACAGGAAACTTGAAACAAATCAGAGAACCTCAGAACACAGAGCTGGAATAAGAAAAAAGGATGTTCTTGCTTAGAGGGCATTTCTGTGGGGACAGTGTAGGAGCGCTCCATGTAAATCACTTCACAGAATTCTCAGCAGAACCCCGTAGGGTGTCAGGCTATATGTGTCAGTTTATATCTGACTAGAAATGCAGGCTCAGAGAGGTAAAGCAGTTAGCCCAAGGTCACACAGCTGGTAAGGGGTGCGCTAGGACTCATATGAGGGTCTGGCTCTGCTTTTCAGTGGTGTGTGTTACCAACCCCATCAGCCTATTCATTTTACGGGTGGAAAATGGAGGCTGCTTGAGAAAGCAGAACATAGATGCCAATAATAGCTCAATTTTCCACTGCGCTTTACCAGCACCAAATCACTTTCACATTCTTCTTCTCGTTTCATCCTCTTGAATACCCTGAAAAACCATCAGGGCATCTCTAAGGCCCACCTCCAAGTCCCTCCTTCCCCAAGGAATCTATTTCTGTCAAGAGGCTCTGAGCCCCATGAACATCTCCCACAAAAGCAGCAGAGTTAGTTATCTCTTTGAGAGATATTTAACATTTAAAAAAAAAAAACAACCCTTGGGAAAGGGCACTGCTTAGGGAAAAAGAATGCAGGTTGGAGAGGGGAGCTTCAGACCTTGTAGTATCTGACTGAGGGAGAGCTTCTGTTTGGCAGGGGGAGAGGGAGGTGTGGTTAAAAGGAAAGGGGAGCCTCCGCAGAAGACATCAGTGGCAGACAGATAGCTGCTTCTGGGTGGGTCCGTGAATAAGTGTGCCGTGAGCATGACTGCCGAGTGGGCCACAAATGGCGTTGAAGGGGAAGAGCTGGGAAGGGGAAGGGGCTGGGCTTGCCTGCTCCGCAGAGGGCACCTTTCTCAGTTCCTTATTCCTAAACCCGAACTGCGTCTTAGGCCTCCCAACGAGGCTGATCCCAGGGTCGCCCCTGTCCTGGGAGGAAGCAGGAAGGTTCCTCTTCCAAGGGCAACCGTCCCCCACCCAGCGAACCATTGTCCCCTTGCCCTGAGCAGAGCCTCACTCTCACCTCCTTCTGCCTCCTTTCTCTCCCAGGGAAGCCCTATGGAGCAGACGACTTCCTGCCTGTGCTCATGTATGTGCTGGCCCGCAGCAACCTCACGGAGATGCTTCTCAATGTGGAGTACATGATGGAGCTCATGGATCCCGCCCTGCAGCTAGGGGAGGGTGAGTCACCCACCAGCCTATCTCCAGACTCCCGGGGCCCATCTCCCACCCCAACCCCACCATGCCAGGGCCACGCTGGGTGGCCCAATAAGCACCTTCTGGGTGCCAGACTCCATTGAGCCCTGGGACACGACACAGTGCCTTATACAGCTCCTGTCCTGAGGAACCTCACAGATAAGCAGGAGAGCTGGGCCAGTAAAGACACCATGTCACCGATGCTTGACAAGGGCTGGAATGGTGGGAGGCACAGAGGGTACAAGAACACATTAATCAGACTGTGCAATCAGAGAAGGCTTCCTGGAGGAGGTGATGCCTGAGCTGAGCATCAAAGGATAAATAGGAGCCAGTCAGATAAAGAGGGAGAAAGGTGTTCTTTGAAGAGGGAACAGCAGTTGCTGACAATGTAAAAGATAAGGCTGAAGTGACGGGCAGTGCCCATGAGAAGGAGTCTGAGCAGGGAATAAGGGTCAGTTCTTAGACAAGGGTGGCCCTGGGGACTTTCAGCCCTCTGCTCATCCAGCCCTGGGCCAGGTACCCGTCAGTGGGAAGAGGTTAATGCTGTGGGCACAGGGCCATGCACTCCCCTGTAGGATGCTGGTGAGGGTGTAATTGGTCCCACCCTCACTTTCCCTTCCCTTTCCTCCTTCCCACCACTTCCTCCCACACGCTTAGCTTCAGCCACCCTCCGCCAAGGATCCCTAAGTTGCAGCCAGCCCAGATATCGTTCTGAGAGAGCCCTGAACTGCCCTCTGAGACATCATCCCCGAAAGATGGAGACAGAGAATCTCAGGCCCGGAGTGGCCCCTTTGGGTTTTGCGGTTCTTGAGATAAGCTGGCCCTCTTTGCATCTGTTGCATTTTTAGCCTATGTCCGTCTCTAGGGTGAGAAGATGACGTGGCTGGTTCTGTGAGTTCCTGGAAGCTCAGGGGAGCGTGTAAAGCCATGAAGGATTGACCTTGCCCCTCAGGTTGTTGTGGGGTCTTAGAAACAGTGTCTGTGAAAGCCCTTTGAGGGGTGGAAGGGTGAAGTGAGGCTGTGGGGCTCTGCAGATGCTCTGAGCTCTGGCTGGCTCTCCGGCAGTGGTCAGCCACACCCTGGCGGCCCTGACTCCTACTCCATCCGCAGCCTGAGTCCTTGCTGCAGACGGGGCTCCAGGCCAGGCACAGTGGCCGCAGGGAAAGGGCAGGGACATCCTTGGCCCAACTACCCTTTCCTTATGGACCTGAACCCCCCCACCCCAATCCTGCCATGACCTCCTGGTGTCTTTCTTCCTGTTCTCGAAGCCCACAGAGGGCTTAGGTGGGAAAGCTGAGGTTCTGCAGACAGGAGAGCTAGTCTGTTCTGGGCTACATGAAGTATTTTTTTATGCAGTATATATAATTGGCTTAAAATATTATGTTAGTTTCAGATATACAGCTAAGTGATTCAGTTATATATATATATATATATTTTTTCAGGTTCTTTTCCTTCATAGGTTATTACAGGATATTAAATATAGTTCCCTGTGCTATACAATGTCTTTGTTGCCTGTCTATTTTATGTATAGGGCTACCTTAAACAGTTTTGAGACAAGCCAAGTACAAATAAAACTACATGGGGATCTTAAGCAGTTCACAGTTTCTGACCCAAAGCTGCCTAAATACCCTGCAGCCTGCCTCTTTGAAAAGACTTAAGTAGTGGGAGATTCTGGCCCTCTGGGGAGATTTCTAAAGGAATCTAATAGGGTGTTTGCTGGAAGTAAAGACGCCGGGCAGAGCCTCGCACATCGCCCTTCCCAGCAGCATCAGACCTTGCTGGCGGCAGCTCTGAGGGCCAGAGGATAAACTTTCTGCCAAACTACACACGCTAGGATGCAGGCTGGGTGGTGTGGGTGCCTCCTTGCCCCTCTCTCTGTTCCTACCCCGATAGCCAGAGTGAGAGGTCGCAGCATCCAGGACAGCCCAAACTCACAGGTGTTGGACTCTGGGAGTAAGATGGCTTGGGGGTCTCCAGCATGGACAGTGGCTTCCACCCAAGTCTGCCAGTTGGGAGATCTCCAGCTAGAAGTATCTGGGCCCAAGATTAGGAGGATGGAGCGCAGGGGGCAGGAGAGGGAGCAGTTCCTGAATTCCCCCGGCTTCGGCCTCCTGTCTTCGCTGGGTGGTGGTGCACAGGGTGCTCTGTCACCTAAGCCTCTGAGGCACAGTGAAGAGAGGGGCTTGCCTGGAGGGGCACGGGATGGAGTGGCAGCGCCCCTGTGGCCAGTCCTTGCCCGTGGCGCTCTGCAGAGTCAGAGATGCCCGGGACAGGGGCAGGCCCTTAGGGAGTCCCCACTCTTGAGAACTTCAGTTGCTCCATCCTAAGAGGAGAACTAATGCAGGGTGTAGGAAAAAGAGTGGTTTGGAGGCTGGATTTCTGCCTCTGATTGTCTGGAGACCTTGGGCGAGTTACTTACCCTCTCTGGCTTGGAAAAGGGAAGGCATTGGGCTGGATTGGGGTTTTTTTGACCATCTGGGTGCTCTAGCCATCTGCAGAGGCCGCAGGGGGCAGGATGAGAGATGGAGAAGGCCTCTGCCCTCTTGTGTTTCACAGTACATATGAACAAACAGATCCACATTCAACAGAAAGTTGCACTTTAGACCTTCACGTTTTTCGACTGGTTCCACGTGCTATCATTTGGCAAAGACCAGTGACTGGGTCCCACTCCTTTAGCAGCAGGTTTTTGGGGAGTGAGAGATCAGGGACTTTCTGTCAGAAGTAGAGAGGGCCTGACACTGGGCTGATGGGACCCTGGCCCTTTCCTAGCCTCTCTCCTCTTCCACCCCCCTGGGCAATTATGGGGCAGATGGGAGACCCTGGCAGCTGCTGGGCACCTGGCTGGAGCCAGCTCAAAATCCGAACCTCTCCCAGAAGCACCCTCATGTATTCCTTTACCCATGTCCCCTCTGCGCACTGGCTGACAGCTAGCCATGCTGGGCTAAGAATATCTTGTAGAGGTGATGAGTTTTTCCCATCAGTGGACAGCACACTTTACCCAAAGAGAACTCGGGCTCCAAAACTCACGGTGGGAGGAGTCGCCTGCCACCTTGTGGTCATGGCAGGAATTACATGGCACCAAGTCGAAGGAAAGTCTGCTGGGAGGGCCTGCAGGCTGTGAAGAAGCAGGGCTTGAGCAGGCAGGAGGGATCTGGCAGGGCTTGGGGTTCCTCCCCTTTGCCCAAGGGAGTGAGAAACCTCCAGAACACCTCCCTTAGGTATCCTGACCACCATGCATTACTCACACGTTACTGAGCACTGCACTTCAGGTGTATTCATTGCATTTACTTTTCACAACATTATGGGATTTGCAGATGAGGAGATGGAAGCATGGAGGACACTAACTCACCCAAGAGCGCAGGGCTGTCTGCTGAAGGTGGAGACCCAGGGCCTGCACTCTGACTCCAAGACTGAACATTCCCAGTCTGTGCACTGCACTCAGCTCCTCCCTTACCAGCCAGTGGGCATGATCACAATGGGAAAGGGGACCATGGAGGAATGCCTAGTAGGGAACAGGGACTCTCGGCCAGCAAGGGCTGGAGGCACCAGGGAAGCACACACAGGCACACGTGGGCTTTGAGCTGGGCTGGAAAAGGAGACACATGAGTGGTCTACCGGCCCTTCTCTGATGAGAGACACCAAGTTCCATATTGGCCTTGACATACCTATTTCAAAAATGTATTCCTACACTGCTGTGAAAGGGTGAGTGATCCTGTAGCCATAAACCCCTTTATCATACCCCCACCCACCTGGCCAGGGTGTGAACTTTTCCCATGTTGGTTGTGGAATTTGTAGGAATATGTAGTCAGATTCATCCAATGTAGCAGTTAGGAATGCTTTGGGCTGCAAATACCTCATGTAATTAATCATGGTTTAAATCAGAGTGAGGGGCTGGTTTTCTCTTGCATCAAGAAGTCCTGGGGTAAGCAGCTGATAATGATGGCAATTTTTAGCCTTGTTATCAGGAAATCGTAGACCTAGCTCTTTCCATTTTTGTTTAGGATGTGAACCTTTGTCTTTGTGCCCATCGCCTCTGTTCACAAAACAGCTGCTGTGCCTCCAGGCTCACCTCTGTGTTCCAGACAGGAGGAAGGGGGACAAGCAAAACCCGAAAGGATGCACTAACTGAGTCTATCTCTTACAAAAGGCTTTCCTGGAAGCCCCACCCTGGGACTTCCACTTACATCTAAGATCCAGAACAGGGTCTCCTGCCCTCTACCCTGAGCTGCATGAGAGTCTGGGAAGTGAGAATTTTCAGTTGAGTGTTACTTCACCCCTCAGAAAAGTAGAGTTCAGTTAATTAGGAAGAAGGAGAAGATGGGATTTGGGTAGCTCACTAGCAGAATGGGCCTCATGTCAAAAATCATTGCCCTGGTCCCCAAAGAGCTGGGGAGAGGCCTGGTGAGTGGGGAGGCCCAGGGAAGTGCTCCAAGTCCCTGGCCAAGTCACCCCACTGTCTCTAAAGTGAGGGGCTCAACAAGGCTAGTCCTCAAAAATTTTAACTAAAGCCTCTAACAAGTCAAGTAGGGTAGACTTGTACGCATCTGTACAAACTCTTGCCTTTTCTCTTAAAACTTCATATAAATTGAAATATCTTGAAGCTTAAGTTACTTTAGTAAACATTAGGTATTAAGAATACATGTGAATTAACTTAAGAAGATAAAAGAAACGGAGAAATTGAACAATTCAAATTTTTTTACTTTCTTTAAATCTTTAAAAATTGTAATAGCATAATCATAATTACATTTTTTCTCCATATATTTTTAAGTTGTTTTTAAAATAGGATCTATATGACATATACAGTGAGAAGTCTCCCGCCCACCTGTGTCTCCAAGGCACCCTTTTCCACACCCTAAAGACATCCATGGTTATCGGTTTCTTCTGTATCTTTACATTTTAAAACTCAAAAGCATTTTAAAAATCGCTTTAAAAACAAGCAAGCGTTCCGTCTCAATGGGAGCCAGTGACAAACTTTGAGCAGGGCCATACAGCTTCGGGCTGGACTTAAGAAAGCTTGTGAGGCTGCGGTGGGCGCTGGGCTGAAGCTCTCATTGACCCGCTGCAGGTGCCTCCGGGCAGCGGGGCTGGGAGGGGCTTGGGGAGGTGGGCGGGGCGGGCCGAGCAGGGACCAGCTCCCTCTCTTTGGGGGTGGGCGGAGACATTTCTAGCTCCGCCTCCACACCCTTGTCCCCGCAGGTTCTTACTATCTGACCACCACCTACGGGGCCCTGGAGCACATTAAGAACTACGACAAGATCACGGTGACCCGGCAGCTGAGCGTGGAGGTGCAGGACTCCATCCACCGCTGGGAGCGCCGGCGCACACTCAACAAGGCCCGGGCCTCCCGCTCCTCCGTGCAGGTGATGCCTGGGACCGAGGGTGGGAGGAGGCCGGCGGGCTCTTACCCCTATTCCTTTCCTCCCGCCCGGCAGCTCAAGATCCAGACGCCAACTGGCCCCCAGGGGAGCTATGAGGCAGAGACAACAGCTCCCGCCTGCCAGTGTGTGTCCAGCCCAGTGCCCGGTCGCGGGTTAGGGGTGGAAGTTAAGGGGTGAAGACAAGAAAATTATCACCAGACATTGGGGTTTCAGTTGCACAGACATGACAGGGATAGGAGGAATGAGACTACTGTCCAAGATTCCTTAGCACCTATGATGTCTGGGTAGGCTGTTAGGGCTGGAGATGGGAACGGTACGTCGTCCCAGCTGAGAAGCACTTGAGCTAATCTACAGCCAGGCCCTTTGGTGCCTGGACAAATGCAGCAGCTGCCAAGGGTCCCCCTGCCCCTAGCCTGCCCCGCTCCAATCCAGCCACCCATTCTCCCCCACCTCCCTATATACAGACTAAATATTCCAGCCATTGGTGGCCAGACTCCTGCCTCCTCCCCTACTTCCATTATCCCACACACCTCGAGGCTGCATCACATCAGTACCATTAATTCCCTGAACATACTGGGCTCAACTTCCTCGTG